TTAGAGCACAAACTGAAATGGGAGGCAGATCCCATCATTTTAATCCGAAAAGTTCATATATACATCAGTTCGATCTCGTTCAGTAGCGGAGCTACAGGGGGTCAAAGTTTAATTATTTTTTTCTATTAATTGAAATATCTCGCTTACTTTTCAAGATATCATTTCAAAATTTGGTGTGGTCGATACTATTTAGAATATCATCATTTCAAGCCATTTTAAGATTTTCAAAATCTACAGGGTGATACGGTTTTGGAGGTAGAGGCTTCTTTATCCCCCCCAAACTTTTTCGTAGTACGCCTCTGGCATCTTCTTGTGATCAAATTGTGTGGATCGTTCAATTTAGAGGCTTATTTGTCCTTCAATTTTTTTCGAGAAACTGTTTTCGAGATAATTGAGCATATACGTTCTGAAACATGTAAATTTTGCCTATGTTTCGCTTAAATTTCATTCAACTGAAAAAAAAACTCCTACCCTCCGTATTCCCGTATTTGATCCAGACTGGACTAGTGATTGCAATTTTAGTGAGTACATTTCATTGTATTCTCAACGAATTTTGTCAAGGAATAAAATTTAAGCGAAACATAAGCAAAATTGACATGTCTTAGAACGTATATGCTCATTGTTCTCAAAAACTGTTCGTTTTCTCGAAAAGAATTAGAAAGCAAAAAAGCCTCTAAATTGAACGATCCACATAATTTGATCAGGGAAAGATTCCAGAGGCGTACGATCAAAAATTTTTGGGGGGATAAAGAAGCATCTACCCACAAAAACCTATCACCCTGTAGATTTTGAGAATCTTCAAATAGCTTGAAATGATGATCTTCTAGGAAGTATTGACCACACCAAATTTCAAAATAAAATCTCAAGAAGTAAGCGAGATATTTCAATTAATAGAACAAAATTATTGAACTTTGACCCCCTGTAGCTCCGCTTCTGGACGAGATCGGACTAATGTTTATATGAACTTATCCGATTGAAATGATGAGATCTATCTCCCATTACAGTTTGTGCCTCAAAACCTGAATCACCCTGTATATTCAGAATAGTTTGAATTAGCCACTTTACTGACTTACAGAATTGAACTCCAAGACTAGTCACTATTTATGAGAAAAGCAAAAACGCAATATCGGGGTTAACCGACAAATGAGATGTTTATAAAACATATGGTGTTTGCACTAATGCGCTTTTGTTTTGACCAAAATTGACGACATTAAACAGTTGAAAATCACAATACAAGGTTCTTGTTACATCTGATTCTAATAGATGTCGCTGTACGAATTCTCTTTGAAATGGAAATAGTAACTCAATTATCAGAATTTCACTAAACACTGCCAAAAATGAACGTACTTACACCATTCCTGTATTTTTTGATCGTGATTGTTGTTATTTGGTCAGATGGCCATTAAAAATATGACGATATCAGCGCTTCTCACGGATTTTCTATGAACGAGAACCAAGTGTCGTCAGTTTTTGACCAATGTAAACATGGAAACCAGATTTGAGTAAGAACACCATCTTCTTCAAAACATCTTACCGACAAATAGATGTCATCAAGTGAACCAACTTCAGTAAACTTAACTTAACTTTCAAAATCGCGTTATACAGGGTGTTTCCTAACTACGGTTCCTAACTGGAGGGGCTGATTCGTTAGGTCATTTTAAGAAGAAAAGTTCCTATGAACATATGTCCGGAGTTGCTTCGTTTCTGAGATACAGGGCGTTGTAATTAAAGGAAAATTATATAATATCATGAATATCCTGGAACCGGTTAGGTTGAAATTTGGCACTTTTATTTGTAAAATTTTCTAAAATTTCAGCATATCAAGTGTCAATTAAATATTTATCGGAAATAACGGAAAACTCATTTCTCCAATGCAGGTGTTCATGATATGCAATACAGTGGCTTTGATTTTTTTCTCGATAACGAAGCTGGATATGAAGAAAATGCAGGAGACCAAAAAGTTGTATTTTGAGTTGCTCAATCTGGAAAAAAAATAAAAATTTATCAAAAAAGTCAGTGACGTATTTTTTTTTCACAATATTGTTGGCTGTGGTGTCCACTGAGACGCCACTGGCCCCAATAATTTCAATCTAAATAAGGGTAAATAAGCGCCTTATTAGTTCAAATGAAAGTACAAAATTTCAACCAAATCTGTTCTAGGATATTGATGATATTTTATAATTACCGTTTTTTTTTCTTCAATTTCAACGCCCTGTATCTCAGAAACGAAGCAACTCCGGACATATGTTAATAGGAACTTTTCTTCCTAAAATAACCTGAAAACTCACCACCTGCAGTTAGGAACCGTAGTTAGGAAACACCCTGTATAAACGTGAATTACTTTCCGACGAGTTTGTCTTAGCAACCAGTAATCATAACTTACTGTCATATTTCTCTATATTAGTCTAGCGATTTTTACCAAATTTGGACCGGTATGAATAACTATCAGTATGATCAGCTTTTCAGAGACGAACATCATTTTGCTCAGCTCCTTGCGTTTTTTAGGAAATAATTTTTTTTTACAGGAACACTGACCTCATATTATTGTTCTTCATGGGTTCAACCCCCATGTAGATTTCCATATGATTTATTTCAAGGGTTTCAAAAAACAGGCACATTTAAACAGCATATTTGCGAACGTAAATAATTATTTACTCGGAAACGATGAGTTCAACAAAAAAGGTTTATCTTGTTTTTTCATTCAGACCATAATTTTCTACCTACCGGAACTATTGAACGTGCCAAAATTTGCATTTGATTAGAATTCACAACTTTTTCGATGCAGAAAATGAAGCCAATCCTGTTAATTCGGAATGAGGTAATTTTTTGAATATATAGGTGCTGAAACACGAGGAGAAATAATGTTAGTTTTCCTGCAAAAAAAATCCTAATATGATTCCTAAATGAATCCTAAAATGATGTTCGTCTCTGAAAAACTGATCATATTGATGGTTATTCATACCGGTTCAAAATTGGTGCGAGTCGCGCGACTAATAGCTGAGATACAGAGGCCCGGCCATATAAAGTGAGACACGCTGTAGATGTAGAGTATAGTGAGGTCGTACAAAAAAATTATTTCAAATATAAATATTCAATAGCGAATGCCTATATGACTCACACAACTCTGGTCGTATTCACGTCCCCGTATCATCGAGCCGGACGATACTTAAGCAAACAATGTTTTAGATGGAAAGGAAAATGTCGGATGAATAATACACTATTTCTCATGACGGAACCTCCACACGAAACAATTTTTAAAGTAACATGGCAAATGTATCAACGAGTTTTTTTACCATTTCGTGTCTATACATAATCATGATATTGAAACATTGGAAAGATTTTTTTTTTAGTTCAAACATCAACTAATTTCAGAATTATCTGGCCAATGACAAAGAACAGTTAGAACCGGTTTCAATATCCATACCAGGGTCGGCATCCGTACATACCGAATATGTTTGGTAACAATATTAATTTCTTATCCTATCGATTTTATGTCCTAAATATTCGTGATAATTCTGCCGCTTGTTCTTGTTCTAACTAACCCGTGGTATTGGTCCGCAACACTATTGAGTCAACAATAAGTGACAACAATATGAGAACATAGTGGTATTTTGCTACACTATTTCACGAAGCATAGGAAGCATTATTATACACATGAACAATTCACTATAATCAGAGCGACTAATTATGACGTTTACAGCAACAATTAATTTTGATAACAACTGTCCAAACTTTGCTTTACTATCCGTGGTTACATATTTGTATGCAACAAAGCTGATAGACCAATCAGAATTGAAAGACAGCTAGTGTTTCGGCGACGATACAAATTATCTTTGGTTTGTGATTGGTCCAAGTGTGTGAAAATTTCATGTTGGGTGAAAAAGTCATTTAAAGTAAATCTTAAATTAATCTATCACTCAAGCCCGCTTTTTTTCATTGAATATGCACATCCCATTCCATAACTTTGTTTCAAATTGTTCCATATCATATAAACAGTATGAAAAAAATACTAGAGAGTGAGCCCAGCTCACCATATCTTTCCATTCATCTTTGTTTGAAGGACTACTGCTGAAGATGGTAATTCTTTGCCGAGATATACAGGGTGTCCCTAGACCAGTGGGACAGTTGAATATCTTCTGCACCAATAGGAATTTTCAAAATATTATAATTCCACATCATATCGCATCATGAGTGCTATCTTCAGGAATGACTATATTTTATACGAGGGGCGCAAGGAAGGCTCACAAAATCGAACATCAATTTTTTCAAATGGAACACCCTGTATTTTATTGCATTTTCATATTCTCCTTGAAGAGCTGAATTTAACGACCTAGCACACTTGGGGTCTAGCGGGAATGATTTCCGAGATATAGGGTGTGGAAAATCGAGATTTTTAATTTTTGGGAATTTTTTGTGTCAAAACTATTCATTATTGGTCAAAATGGCTCGCATGTCCATGTCTTAACTTTCGATTTACTATTCACTCGTATTTAAATTAAACAAATACAGGGTGGTGTAGAATTCTCAGTTTCAGTCGGAATTCCACACCACCCTGTATTTGTTTCAATTAAATACGAGTGAATAGTAAATCAAAAGTTAAGACATGGACATGTTAGCCGTTTTGACCAATAATGAATAGTTTTGGCACAAAAAATTCCCAAAAATTAAAAATCTCGATGTTACACACCCTATATCTCGGAAATCATTCCCGCTAGAGCCCAAGTGTGCTAGGTCGTTGAATTCAGCTCTTCAAGGAGATTATGAAAATGCAATAAAATACAGGGTGTTCCATTTGGAAAAAATGATGTTCGATTTTGTGAGCCTTTCTTGTGCCCCTCGTAGAAAATATAGTCATTCCTGAAGTTAGCTCTCATAATGCCATATGATGTGGAATTATAATATTTCGAAAATTCCTATTGGTTCAGGAGATATTCAACTGTCCCACTGGTCTAGGGACACCCTGTATAGTCAGACTTTGTAAATATTTTTACGAATTTTAGGTATATTTTAGTCTTGTCTCACTCGACCCACAACTCTGAAGAACGAAAGACCACCGATTTCCAATTGTGATAGTGATATTATATCAAAAGGATTATGAAAATATCGCACCACTTTGATATTTTGAAATAGATTCGGAATCATATTTTGTCAATTAAGGATTTTATGTTATATTTAATATCACATAATCATACCTCATTGTACTTGCACAGCGTTATTCTAGAACCGAGTGCCGATAAAATTTTATACTCAGGCGTGTTTGTGAGTTTTTTTTAATGAGGGCTAACAATTTCAGTCTCACCAGTTGGCGCTACTAAAACGTATTGTCAATGTCAAAGTCAAAAATTCCAGAATTTTGCCGGATACCCCTGAATAGGGTCCCTTGATGCGAACTGACGCATTTGTCATCTAACAGGGTACGGACAGTTCATAGCTCCTTTCTCTTTTAATCATCTAGTGACTTTGGTTTCGTGTATTGGCGTCCCATTCATAGGCGTTGAAAGCGATCTTACAAAATTTTAATTTCATACTTGATCCTAATACGACATTATTCAATTCTGTTTTGGAAGGATGGTAAAATGTGCTGCGTTAGGCTGTATCAATCAGTTGGATGGCAAATTTGAATTCGTCAGCTTTCCATCAAATGCAAATGAACTAAGAACATGGAAAGTGAAGTGACCGAATGAGGAAAAATGGTAAATTCATCAGCAAAATGCTCGAGGTAAAACTAATACGAAATCACATATTATACTTTTTCATTCTGCCTATAATTATCCACTCCACAAGTTTTTGAATGCATTTTAGTAGAATTTAAAAAATTATACCTACATTCAGGAAATATTAAGGGTTCGTGAAAAACTGCAAAAATTATTCCCAATATACAGCACACATGACATATGAGCACCCTTTCTCAACCATAAGGTTTAGTCTGAAATTAAAATTCATTTATTGATAGGTACTGCCTAAGAACAGTGCCATTTGGTAAAACTTTCAGAAAAATTTGCTCACTGCCTCACAAAGATTATGCTGGAGTTGAAAAATCAAACTCAAAATCATCATCATCATTTGGATATAATATGTAGAGTTGAATGAGAAATTACATGTGGAAATTACGTATGATACGCCAATGTCCTCAATATAACCTAAAAAACAACAAATGTCAGGAATCTTGTGTTTATCCCCAGAAATGAATAAAGATGGAGCTATATAACTGTTTCACAAACACTTTAGAGTGAGAGGAGACGAGGATCTGTCCGTACCCTGTTGAGATGACAAATAGAATATTTTAACAAATAGAAATCCTCAAGTTATGGATAGAGTTGAGCAGACTTACGTTTTTTTTACTCTCAATGTGGAACTTTAGGCCTGATACTTAATGGAGGAGATATCGTAGGAAGAGGAAAAATGACACGAAAAGAGGTATATTTATCACTGCTACTAACTCTGACTTGCACTGGCCCCACGTTTCAATGGCGCAATTTGGTGGACAATAAATAATGTTAGCCCTCATTGGGCGGGGTGTTAACATAAGCAATATTATTAATCCGGTCATATAGGACTCTGCATTTTATTCCATATTTTCTTAAAGATTATCATTACCGTTTCATCGATACTATCTGGTGATATATCAAAAGACTATAAAGATATTATCGAAAAACTTTTCTATATACTCTGTGGGTGTGGCAGAGACGGTGAAACAACCTTTCGAAGAATATCCATAATCACACTTCATATCCGCTTCATTTCCTTGTTTATACGTCCATGGTGGTAACGATCTTTAGCAAATTATGGAATAATATACAGGGTGTTCTTTTTGAATTAAGAAATTCATATATTTCAGTAAAAGAAATGTGGCAACAATGGGTATGTGTGTCAAATGTAATTAATTTTTAGTGTTTGCCACATGCTTCAAAAACTAGATAAACAACTAAAAAGTATGTGGGCAAGTTCTATCAAAGTATATGGCATCAAAATTGGAAATTATATAACTTTGTTTTTTTGGGGAAAGGGGAAGGTCTGTTACGATATAGGTTGTGTTGTGATGACAAATTGTAAGATGGTGGTTTAACAATAGTGATTGTTTACCAAAAATGTTGTTTTCAATAATATTTCAGATGTTTCTATCAAGACCCTGAATATAATTCATTTGTCTCTTGTGATTTTTACAATTGATCAAACACAAAAATATTATTGAAAATTTTCTCATTTTTAATTACTGAATAGATATTTTTTGCATATAAGTTATATTTTTCTTTACAAAAAACGTATTAAAGGTGAACAATAAAAAAATTAAAAATATTTATGAAGAGTTTCATTGACCTTCTATCCAAGTAAACCAGAAAGAAATGATACATAGAAGTTACTGTCTATATGAGTTATGCAAAGCTTCTGAAATTTTATGTTATCAAGATGCATCATCACTATCAAAATAATAAAAGCAGTATCTGAAAACATTACTTTATGTGGTTGTATCAAGGAACATTTAGAAATTAATTCACACTTGAATAGTATGTGTAATTATGTTTTCCCCAGTTGAAGTAAATTTCAGCAGTCAACAAAACAACTAAGATTTCATTATGGTTATCAAATTGAAGTCTCTAATTATAACATAATACCACCTTATTATTGAAATGTTGCGGTAGCTCTATTTTATTTTATTATTTGAAAAAACGAACGAAATAATATCTCAAAGACAGCAACACATAGATAAATAATTACATAGAAATATCAAGAAAATGATAGGAATTCCAAATTTAAGATAATACAAGTTGATTTTATAAATGTTCGCCGAATGAATGGAAAGGTCTTCAACTGAAATATAATGAGATCAATTCAAAATCAAACAGATCCAACATATGAAGAACAATTATTGAAATATTATATATTATACAAATGATGTATGGGAACATCATAAGCTACCATGTTCTCACGGAATATGCTGAGACCGCTGACAGATGCAGTATCAGTTTACACCTTCCAGGATACCAGACATTCACTGACTTGTTCTCATCAGATTTGACAGACTTCACACAGTAAAGACGCATTGTAATTTGTTCTCTAATACAACCTCCATATTTTTGTGTTCAATAAATAAATTTATTTTTTGAAAACCTTTTGGTGATAACCAAAACAAAGTACAGGAGGGTATACATTGTGTTTGTGGAAAGTATGCAGGTGAAACAAAGAGTAAGGACTGATACCGACAAATCGAGATTAGCTGCAAATATCCTCACTGAAAATGAACATCCTATGGCGGAATACAATGATATATTGAAATCATAGGGAGAGATGACAACCAAAAGAGAAAGAGCAATAAATAATCCGATGATATGTTTAGTTGCTGTAGATAGAAGATGGTAAGTATTCACATTTGAAATTTGAGTATGAAATGGTAAATTCAAGTTCAATTAGAGAAACGCCCTGTAACTTACAATTTTTCTGACAACTTTTGGACGGCTATATAATTAAGTCAGTCCAATATTAAATAAAAAAGATTGCCTCTAATATTCGATATTATGCAATTCACAAGCCTTCACAATATGCACTTTTCAATATGAAACAAAAAAGTGTCAATAGTGGAGACGAGACATTCGCCTGCTTAGTGGTGCCACGCTGACTAATTTCCTGACATTGTTGAAACGCCGCTAGGTCACTTTTCTATGGATGCTCCCAATCAAGTTGTTCTTTAGAAAGTTCGGCCAAACACAAGCAGTGCCTGTGGGACGAACCGTAACGAACTCGACAAGCTAAGTCAGCAGTTAGCACATCCTTTTTTCGCCAAAACGAGATATGTCCAACTCTGTATCAAAACTCGTTTGTCTATAGAACGGCTAAGCTTTGGAATTGTTTGCCTACGGAAATGTTCCCAAGAACTTGAAACCTCCAAGAGTTGACAAAAATCCAGGTTAGGTGCGAGGAGAATGTAATGGAACAAGTAACATCTTATAATTTTTATTATTTAAGATTAACATAAAACATAATTATTATATATGATAGGCACTATACAAATAGACATTTATTATTTTGGACTAACACATTGCATTCAAAATGTAGCAGTTTCAGTGATATAAAATATAATTTCAAGTCTATCATAAACTATGTATAAATAATTATGATCACATTGAAATTAAGTGTTCCCTTCTAACTTTCAAACAGAATCATCTGAAACAATAACACAAATATAAAAAAAGAAAGACTGAATAACAAATAACTCACCATGATACCACCACTTGGTTTTCTTAGGATTCTTATTACAAGTTTTCACATAGAAAGTATTATCGGGAGGTCGTTGCTGCAAATAAAGCACGTTCAAATATTTACATTATGATTAAAGTGGAACACCTACCTTTTCTTTGCAGCTACTGAGCATAGAAACGATGGAAAGACAAACGGATTGAACTGACAATGCAGGTGACCAATCATCAGTTAAAATTGATAAGCAAATGTGTCCATTACTATACACATGCGGGTGAACTGGAATGTTATTACCTATGAAAGTTACCTGAAAGATATAACAGAATCAATTGGTGGTAATCTGAAACTGGTGTGCATCCCAAGGTAGATCGGGATAAAGATTATATTGTAACAATAATAATAATAATAATAATATTTATTCGCAGGATGAGCAGAAGGTAACATTAAGTGGATAACAACATTTCAAAATATACAGTGTGTCCATTTAGTGCGTAATTCTTCGATATCTCGAAAGCCATGACCTATAGAGAAAAACTTTGAAGGAAAAACTTTTTCAGTTACCAAAGTTGCTTGTTTCAAAAATATTTTCAACATTACTGGGTGTTTTATAAAAGCGGAACAACTCGGAGACGAGTTTTTTAAAATGGAACACCCAGTATTATTAAATCGGAATTTATTCCGCCGAGGTTTACCTTCACATCGCTGTAACAAAAATTGGAATCGGTTGCGGCGTTGCCAAGTTATAATTGATAAATCAATTTTCACCACTATTGAAGAGTCATATTGAATTGGGCATGGTATATTCATTTATTCAAATTTTGAAAATATTTCTGGCATACGGTAGTAGCAAGGTCTCACGTATACCAATCCAGTAATTTTACGACATCTTCTTTAACAGAGTGCTCAATTTAACATTTAGAATTTTGCAAGATTCAGATGACATTCATTGAAATTTCTCAAATGGAACACCCTGTATTTTTATTCACAAATTCATTCCGACATCTTTCGCCATTTTATCGCTGAAAAAAAAATCGAAATCGGTTGCGGCTTTGTCAAGTTATGGATAATTTTCTTATTTTTACTACTATTTTGGGGTAATTTGTACGTCACAGTTCTATCATTAATTTGAATTGTGGAAATATTGCGTTGCTATACGGTATGATAGAATTTCTTCATTGACCATTCATATATTTTTTTACTATAGGAACATTCACAGGCTCTCTAAGTTTGAATTTAAAACAGAGTGGGTTTTGACAAATTTATCTAAAATGATACTCTCACAGATTTTTTGCAGACTATGAATTAATTTTTCGAAAGACAGTTATATTCGTGTAATGACTTGTCAAACATCGCCACAATCAAATATATCTTTAATTTATTTAAAATTTTGCTGAATTCCTTCCCGAAACCCGCGTAGTAAAAAAATATTGTTTTTTCTGTGACGGGAAAAAACTTTGGCATTTCATCTCTGTTGGCAGGTTATAAAATGTCACTTTCCATAAATAACATTTTCCCGTGGGAAAAAAGTAAGTACTTTTTTCCCGGATATATATCACATATATATACACTGTTGATGGCTTTTGTTGTGCTATAGTTCCGAAAAATGAGTCAATAATACCGTCTCCGAGAAAGAACTGCAAGTCCTTTTATCTTCCATTTGACTTCGCGGTTACCTATATTACTAAACAACCACTAAATTCGCAATTTTTTGAAATCAAATCACAGAATTAGACTGACAGAAGTGACATCGATATTTGATTACTTCAAAAGAATGATAAATATGCCTACAACGCAGGTGTCCCTACTGTTAAAAACTTGAAATTTCACGTCGACAATTTTCAGATTTCAAAAAAATGTAATATCTTCTCAATATTGATTCGTCCCTCCGCTACGCGTCGGGATACAACACAACCTGGAGCTAAAATCTACTACTTTTTTCCCTTGTATAATAAATAACTATTGTATCATTATGTTCACCTCCTTCAAGTTAAATGGAGATTTGGATTGTGGGAGTATAGACAATGAAAGTGGCCCAAATTTTAAAAAATTGTCCTTATTCTCGCAATCCAAACCTCATTGTTTTTATTGTAGAAGTTGTTTTGAAGGCAGGCGTTGCTTTTGGCATGTTTGTTTGTTTCACATAGGTACATATTATTTAAATCATAAGTAACAAGATTACGGAATATTATAAATTTGGACAATGCACATATCGCAAAAATACCTGAATGATCTAAGTAGAACCTCGGATGTCATGGCAAGCAATATTCCCACACTCAAATCACATAAAAGAACCATGCCTTATAAGTAGCCCTGAGATAGTGATGAACAAAAGGAAATTACTCATAACTTGAAAACGCCGCGACCGATTTTGATTTTTTTTTCAGCGATGAAAATGCGAATGATGTCGAAATCAATCTGTGATGAAAAATACAGGGTGTTCCATTTGAAAAATTCTAATGAACGTCGTCTGAATCTTACAATATTCAGAATGTAATTTTAGCACCCTGTAAAGGATTGTCTCGCAAAATTACTGGATTGGTGTACGTGAGACCTTGCTTCTACTGAGTGCCAAAACTATTTTCAAAATTTCAATAAATAAATATACCATACCCAATTCAACATGACCCTTCAATAGCAGTAAAAATGGGTTTATCAATTATAACTTGGCAACGCCGCAACCAAATAAATTTTTTTTACAGCGATATAGAGCTAAACCTTAGCGGAATGAATTTTGAATAAAAAATACTGGGTGTTCTATTTAAAAAAAACTCATCTTCGAGTCGTCCCGCTTTTATAAAGTATTGTTGAAAATATTTTTGAAATAGAAACCTTCAATAACGGAAGGAATTTGTTTTCAAAAGTTTGTCTCTTGTGATAATGGATTCTGAGATATCGAAGAATTACGCACTAAATGGACACACTGTATAAAGTCATGCTACAAAACAGAAATGACAGGCAGTAGGACTGATACAAGTGCCATTCCTGGTAACTAGCTACAAGAAGGAAATTAATGTTGGCATGTGAATAAACAGAACGTGGCGAATTTCTCATGACTTCACTCGCGCATATTCGCTAGGGGTAGTAAATTTTTGTAGTGATTTCGAAATTTTATGGGTGGAAATGTTTTGAGATTTGTTGGAATCGATCTTTTTCAAGTTCACAATGAAATTCTGAATTTGTTTATGTGTCGATATTAAATTTTCTTGGAATGGATGAATAGGGAATTTGTTGTAGAATACGAATATGATAGTCCAAGAGCCAGCTGCAAATTTCGACCGCCATCTGATAACGAAATGATATACAGGGTGCGGCACCGAAAACGAAACAGAGGCTCTGTAGGTCGCCAAAACCGGATTATCAAAAAAAACTGAAACAGGTCAACTACATTTTCGAGGGGAACATCTTTTCAGCCCTGCGGCGTTGCCGCTTCTAAAGAAAAGAAGCAACAACTTTGTTATTTCAAATGGAACACCTTGTATTTTATTGCATTTTTAGATTCTCCCCGAAGAGCTGATTTCATCAATGCATCACACTTGGGGTCTAGCTGTAATGGTTTCAGGGATATAAAGTGTTTAAAATCGAGATTTTTCAACTTTAACATTTTTTTGTGTCGAAACTATTCATTATTGGTCAAAACGGCTCTCATGTCCCGATCTCAACTTGTGATTTACTATCTACTGACATTTATTCGAAACAAATACAGGGTGGTTCAAGATTCAGAATTCTGATCACCCTGTATCTGTTCCAATTAAATGTCAGTAGATAGTAAATCACAAGTTGATATAGGGACATGAGAGCCGTTTCGACCAATAATGAATAGTTTCGACACAAAAAAATGTCAAAGTTGAAAAATCTCGATTTTGAACACTTTATATCCCTGAAACCATTACAGCTAGACCCCAAGTGTGATGCATTGATGAAATCAGCTCTTCGGGGAGAATCTAAAAATGCAATGAAATACAAGGTGTTCCATTTGAAATAACAAAGTTGTTGCTTCTTTTCTTTAGAAGCGGCAACGCCGCAGGGCTGAAAACACCATTACTTTCAACATTCGTTTGAGCATCACAATATATCTCTGTAATCATTCCTGGGAGCATCTAAAAATGCAATGAAATACAGGGTATTCTATTTGGAATAACAAAGTTGTTGCTTCTTTTCGTTAGCAGCGGCAACGCCGCAGGGCTGAAAATATTGTAGGACGATGTCCCCCTCGAAAACGTAGTTGACGTGTTTCAGATTCTTTTCATAATCCGGTTTTGGCGACCTACAGAGCCTCTGTTTCGTTTTCGGTGCCGCACCCTGTATGTCCCAAAGGCATGTAAAACCATTGTAGTTCATCGAACGGCACTTGTGCCAATCACTATCCTGAGCAAAATGATTGAAAAATTGCACTTTCCTGTGCGGAAATTTGCACTCGATTTCGCGATTTGATAACGAGATAAGAATGATGCCATCCGATACCAGTTGAATTAGGCCGGCAGGTAGTGACATATTTTGGACGTGATTTCTCCCAGTTCGCCTTCTGGAGGGTATCATTATGTCACAGCCGTCTTCAATTGAAAGCCATGAAGAGTGAACTTTGGCAACATTGTCCGAACGACCGAACGTGAACCTGTCGGCCATTCAAAGTGTATTGTGTAGGAAGTAAACAAAGAGTTTATGGAAGGTTTTGTTAATGTTTTCAATTATTAATTGGTGTATTATTGAGATCAAATAATTTTGAAAGTATTAGCAACAATCTAGGAATCGACTCGAGACTGAAAATGTGTGGCAAGTGCATTCAAAATTGTGTTAAATTTGAGGTTATAGTGAAGTGTACTAGTGCTGGTGTATTTGCAAGGGAATTTGTGTTGTTTTTTTCAATTTACTCCTGGAAATAAGTAAGTAATTCATTATTCCTTATGGAATATGCCTCCTAATTGTTGTGTGCCAGGATGTAAGTCAAATTACAGATCTGAAAAAAGCTGGGAAAAGATCATGTCTCAGTTTTTTTATTCCCGAAAGGGGAAAAATTGCGAAATAAGTGGATAACAGCAATACCTCGAAAAAACTGGACACCATCTCAACGTTCTGCAGTATGTGCAATTCATTTTATTGAAAAATATATCATCAGATATGATACATTCCCTCTGCAAGATGGATCAATTGGAAAAATTCGTTATGAGCACCAAAGTTAGTCGAAACAGCTAGCAGTTCCTTCAATTTTTCCAAATTTAACCAAAATATTTTTCAAAACCAGCCAAACCATAAAAAACTGATCCAAATGAAAGACGTCAGAAATATTCAGATATTCAAAGTAATATAATA